CTAAATACATCAGACACAACAATCATACCTTCATCCTCACTTGGAACCTCTGACAGTTTAAATTAAAAAGCATGAAGGACAAGAAGGTCAAAATCTAAACCTGGCAAAACAATTCTATTTTAGTGTTTTTAAAATGTGCACTTCAATTAAAATACATTAAATGTTTTAGAAATAATCATTTCACTCATATGAAGGATATAATACCTATGACTTCACTCATGTGGGATATAAAACAAAAAGTAACAGACGAACTAACAAAACAAACAAAAACAAACTCATAGACACAGACAACAGAATGGTGATTACCAGAGGGGAAGAGGCAAGGGGGAGGGAAACGTGAGAAAAGAGGTCAAATACAGAAGGAAACTAGACTTTGAGTGGTGAGCATGCCACAGTGTACACAGATGGTGAATTATAATCTTGTACATCTGAAATTTATATAATGTTATTAACCAATGTTACCTCAACAATTTAATTTTAAAAGAAATAAAGGTGCATTTCAAATATTAAATGAAAGATATTAAATGTTTTATAAAGTAATCATTTGTTATTTGGGGTTTTAAATAACTTAGATCTATTTTCAGAAGTTTATATTCTGCATATATCTATACATCCGATCTAGTTGTTCAAGCAAAAAACCTGGATCACTATCTTGTACATGCTACCCATCCAATCCATCGGTAAATCCTATCTACCACAGCACCTCCTACATACAGCACCCACCCTCTTCCCTCCACTGCCCTCTGCTGGTGGTGGCAGAAGGGTGGTCTGAGCCACCCCCATCTTTCTTGTGGACTACTGCAGTCATCTCCTAACTGGTACCGCTCTTACATCCTTACAGTCCCTTCTCTACTCAGCCACCATGTCAGGTCATGTAAATTTCCCTGTTTAAATTCTTCCAATGGCTTCCTATTACACTTAGTCTAAAACCTACACTCCTATGTTATCTGGGTCTTGCCTTCCTCTTCCAGCCTATTCCTGTCTCCCTAACTCCTTCACACTCACCACCTTATACCTGTCCCTTTGTGTCTTGGACATGCCAAACATGTTCCTGCCTTAAGGAAAAACTTGCTTTTCTCAAGCCAGAACCCAGATCTCCTTGTAACTGGCTATTTCTGGTCAGCCATTCAGCTCTAGGCTCAAATGTCACTTCCCTAGTAAGGCCTTCCCCTACTCAGTCCAAAGCAGTGCCCCCTATCCAAAACCCACCAGCAGTCTTTTCACATGACACAATTTTCTTCATAGCCCTCATTATTCCAGATATTTTTTTGATAACTGATTTATTTTGTTTATTTTGTATAACTTCTTCTGCCACTAGCATGAAAGGCCCCAATTGAGAAAGCAGGGATGTTAGTTGTCATTCACATACATTCCAGTACCTAGAAAAGAATCTGGCGCATTAGAGAGCACTCAATAAATACTGCTGGAATAAATTAAATATAAATCATTTTGCTGCTATAGGTATATTATATTCATACTATCAATTACCTCAATTATAGACATATTGAGAATTGAACTGAATAATTCAATTCTTCATTGAAAAGAAAACACTTTAAAATAATTATAATGGGAAATGATTTTAAAGCTCTCAGAAGTATTCAATAAGAATTCAAAACACTAGCAACAAAAGTAAAATAACAAAAGTCATCAACATAAGTCTTTTTTTAGTTTTTTAAACACAGTGGCTTACATTAAAACATAGCAAACAATAAAATTAGGAGATTCAGAGAAAGAAAATGTTTTTTCTGCCTTATAACCCTAAAAGTAATCATCTCTAGCACTGCCACAGTTACTCAAACTCTGAAATTCCATTCCATTATCTTTGAAATATACCTTTATTTAGCATGCTACTTCCTAGAAAAATAACATAATCTTACATAAGCTTGCAAATGTTTCAAGTTAGGCCCACTGAAGACATCAGAGCATTAATAACCATCTCCCTCCTATTCTAAAAGTCCTATAGGATATTAACCACAGATGACTTAGTATGCTCAGAGTTCATTCACAGAATGAAACAACAGAAATCATCAATAAAAAGGTAATAAAAAAGAAAAGAAGAACATGAAACTATCTTTTTTGCATTATGGTACTGATAAGCACTTTTGAAATCTTTCACCATTATGCTATGTTCTGGCTTGTTTTTAGAATGCAGTGTAAATCAGTGGCAGTCCCAGAAATGAAACCCAAATTTCTAAAATGTCCCCCTTATAAAGTCCACTGACTGTTTTCGTAAACTAAATTTTCTTGACATATTTAAAGATATGTTTTAATGTTATTTTATAGGCCAAGACACACAGGAACAAAATTTTAAGTACACAGAAATACAACCTGGAGGAATTTGTAAACCCTCTCAGAGAAACCCTAAACTGTATAGGAAGCAGAACCAATCCATCTTCAAACTGACACAAGTCATCTTCCTAAGACAGAAATCTGTCCCCTCACCTTCTCAAAAACCTTTGGCTCCTCTTGCACACAAACCAAACTCCAACTTGTTCAATGCAACATTCAAGCTCTTATAAACAATTTGATCCTTTTTTACTTACCTCTCAGTATATCCTCTCCTACACACACACACACACACACACACACACACACACACACACACACGGCACACAATGTCATTGTTTAATAGCTATTCCCAGGGGCCGGCTGAGTGGCGCAGTTGGTTTAGAGCTTGCCCAAAAGTGCGAGCTCTGAGCAACAGCGTTGCTGGTTCAATTCCCACATGGGCCAGTGAGCTATACTCAAGCTGAGCTGCTGCTGAGCTGCCAACAGGTGGCAGGATGGCTCAGCTGGTGAGAGCACGTGCTCCTAACAACAAGGCTGCTGCTTCAACTCCTGCATGGGATGGTGGGCTACACCCGCCCGCAACTAACATTCAATACGGCATCTTGAGCTGAGCTGCCAATGCGGGCGGCCGGATGGCGACTGGACTTGGAGCTGAGCTAGCTGCGTCCTCCACAACTAAGACTGAAGGACAACAACTTAGCTGTTCCCCTTCCCCAATTCCCCAATGAAATCTTAAAAAAAAAAAAATAGGTATTCCCATAGCATTCCCTATCCTTTCCTACTTCTGTACCTTCAAACTCTTCCCAAACTCTTCCTCCTATTTTGAATTCTCTTCTGATATATAACCTCCTCTTCCAAATCTTTCCCAGCTTTCAAAATTTGACTCCAACCCTACTTGCTCTAAGAAGCTGCCTGATATCTGACCCCCAGGTAATATCTCCTTTTCCCACACTATCACAGCACTTAATTGGTACCTGATAGAATTTAGTACCATCTGCTTTATTACATAATTATTTAAGCATATGCTTATTACCACTGTTTTCTTCTTTGTATTCCCTCATTGACTAATACAAAGCAGAACTTAAATAGTTGAATTAATTAAACTGAAAGATCCTGACTGCTCAACCTAGTGCCCAACACAGCACCTAAGTATGTCAGACACTCGATAATGTTCGCCAAATAAATCAATGTCTTATTTCACAATCTAATAAATCCTGTTCAGAGCAAGAAAATAATTATCTCTATTTTTAAAAGATCGGCTGCAGCAAGAATTAAGTATCTAAAGTAAGGAGAAACTTACCAGAGTAAATCTGAATGCTCTGGGAGAGGGCTGAAGTACTAATTTTATACATGCAGGAAGCAGGTTCAAAAGTGTAAAACAAAAGCTAAAAAGTGAATAAAAATAAAATATTTGTTTCTTTGTAGAGGGATATCACTAAAACAAAGACATTTTTAAAAATATAAGGATCACATTATCAACTTAAGTTGATTTCAAATTAAGGTTTATTTTTATTTTTTAAATTTAAGACCCATTTAAATAAAATCCATACATTGAAATAATCCATACATTGAAATAATCCATACATTGAAATATGTACTCTTTCAATTTATATAGTACAGAACAAACATTATAGTACTAAATGTTGCTTATGTTATTTTACTATTTAGTATCTTTTATAGAAGATACCAAGATAGACAGTTAATTATCAAACACTCAAAATAAGAAAACATAACCAGGCATAGAGAGGCAATGCTCTATTTATAACACAAGCATTCATAAAATGTGCTCATAAGAGACGCTCTCTGGCCCTCATTTCACAAAAGTTGATTATCTGATTTTCAAGCCCATGGTAAACCAACAAGAACAAGTTAGAAAGGAAGCAGGAAGCTGCTAGAGCTTCTAGTGACGGCTGATGAGCAGGCAGCCATTTAGTACCATGGCCAACATCCTTTGAAAGACCCGTAAACAAGTAGAACGCAATACAATGTCTTCCCACTTGTGTGTCAACGTGGCTAGGTTGAACGATACAGCTCCTTGTCGCAGTGGGCTTCAAGAGCTGTTCACAAAAGAATCGAGGACAGAGACAAGCAGCACCCATTTTGTAGCGCATACACACCCACCTTCTCTCAGTTATTCAAACACTGATCCTGGTGCTGCTGGGAAGAGATTTTGCAGATCTAACAAAAGTCCCTGTTCAACAGCTGATTTTAAGTTAATCTACAGGAGCCTAGGCTTGGGTGGGCCTGACTTAATCAGTTGGAAGCCCTTTCAAAGAAGGCTTAGGCCTTCCCGCAGCTCAGAGATTCGTAACAGTAGCTGGGTCTGAATCGCTCTTCCCTCCCGCTCATTATGCCTTCCTGCATGCCAGCCTTGCGGACTTCCAGTGTGCTCAGCCAGTCCCCACAACTGTTTCAGCCAATTCCTCATAACAAATCCACATGCACACACGCTTCTCCTACTCCGTCTTCTCTAGCTAAACCCTGACTGATACCGCACTGAAAATCACGACTCTTCAAGGTAATGTTAAATCATGTTTAGTATACTGTCTGTTTAAGGAGGGAGGTAACAATCCAGGAAGATTTTCACATAAAATATTTCAAATAAGAGAGTTTTGTTGTATAGAGGGACAGGTTTATGTTATGTGGAAAATTCATTAATGAAGAACACCTCTTTCCCTGATAATGCCAGGTAAATGAGATATGACCATAAGACTTTTAGAGAAAAGCATATAAAACACTATATACAAACTTTGTGTCTCTTACCTGATTATTATCTGGACGTGGTGTGGCAAAATATCCTTGATTTTCAGAAAGACGCTGAAGCTGCACCAAACGTTGGCTACTTTATCCTTGAAAGAGATTTCTTAGTTTTATAATCTGATACAATTGAAAGGAATATCAAACTCCACGAAGTATAGCCCATAATCTCTAAATAAATAAACTTTTGAGACATGTGAAGCTTTTATTTACAATTTTATAACTAAGTTTATCTAACTCTTCAAGTAATGAGCACACACACAAGCACACACACACACACACACACACACACACACACACACACACACACACACACACACATACACACACACACTTCATTTTTTGCAGTGGAAGTTTATCTAAATCACTAGCCAACCATAATCCAGACATTCCCAAGAAATACTTAATATTTTTTAAAGAATAGCACAATATCCTTAAATTATGAAGTTATTGACCTTTGGAAATTTTTCTAGAAATCTTTTGTTTTCTTAATTTGTAGAACACATTATTTGACCCACTTTTACCACACATCTGAAATTATCTAGTGTAACCTACTAGCTACTAGCAATGACAACATTAATTGCTAATAAATCAAGAAATTTAAAGACATTAGCAGTTGTGCTAGGATCACTTTCAAAATTAAATTTGTAACTACAGCTCTCTGTTCATGAAACCCATCTTCTGCACAGCTGCTGGATTCACAGCTGTGTAGGCATAACATCAAGAGAGTAGCTATCACGGACAGCTGTACCATCCTACTTTCCTCCGTCAGATCAAAGAAAATGCCCTTTAGATTTTGAGGGGAACAAGTGAATGGAGGTGACCAGCAATACCATCAAACATGTCTGATACTCCTTTTTATAATTATCATCATAAATACCATTTCTGAAATGGAAGGCAAGGCAAATAACCAGGCAGCTTACATGGAAAATTAAACTTTTCTTCAGATAAGTGTAAAGATTAGAGGAAACATAAAGAAGTAGGAGCACAATTTTCAAAGTTCAAATTACAGCTTTGCCACGTGCTAGCTATATGACTTCAGTTTTCTGATCTGTGAAGTGGGTATAATAGCTACCTCAGAGCTATTGTAAGGGTCAAATAAAATCACATGTCAGGTACCTGGCACCTAGTGAGTAAGTGGTGGCGATAATAATAGTGATTACTTATGATTATCAGTATCAGCAGCAGCAACATCTCGACATACAAGCCACACATTCCTGCTTCTTCACATCACTAACTTCTCTTTCAAAATGCTGGTTACAGATCCATTGAAAGGCATTCTATAGCAATTTATATATTCACAAATTAGAAAGGTATATATGCTTTTCTAATTCTTTTTAAAAGAAATGTTTATTCAAAAGCAAATTATCTATAAATATGTTGTCTCTGTCTAACTTTATTCAAAGGCCTTTTTGTTTCAGAAAAATGATTTGTTTAATTTAATTACTAAATCTAAATCATCAAATTATGCATTTAATAAAAGTTTAACAAGAGTGATTAAGCTAGCACTAAATGAAATGAAAGATTCTCATTAAAAATTACTATGGATGAAGGAATTATGAGATCTTTCTGAAGCAAACACCATTATTAGTTTAATAAATAATTTCCTAAGACTAAAAAGAGGATATAAACCAAAAAAATGACAGAGCTGTTAACTTTGTGTCTACAATTCCCATGCTGTCTTTCCTTAAGGACACTATTTCATTAGAAAAGTGTATAACTGAATTATGGATCTCATGATGGCATAAATATTACCTATGCATGTAATGTACTAGAAAACGCCAGCTGAGCAGAGGTTATATACCCGATTAAATAATTGGCAAGGAAGGATGATTGCAAGAGGATAGCAGCTGAAGTTACTATTCTTTGTGTGTCATCTACAGGAAATCCCCAGAGGTCACAGGAAAAGTATTGTACCAGAAAGGAGTAAGGGTTTTTAAACATGCCTCAAATAATCCACGACTGACTGGGAAGAGTCTTCTTAGGACTTGCAGGGCTTGTTCCCTTTCTGTAAGGAATGGCAGCCAGCAGAGAATGAAGGAAGCCACAACAGTACAAGCCAGCTTAATTAACAATACAAACCTAGAACAAAAACAAAGGTAACCAGTAAGACAGGGAGAGGCCAATACTTCTGGGAAATTAATCTGAGTCGCACTAAATATAATAAATGCAAATGTAAAATAATGATAAATCTATGCTGCCAATATAGGTTTAAGATGGGAGTGAACTCAAACTGGAGTTAAGAAAATCACAACCATTAAGATGTGCATGTCTCCAACGAAAAAACTATCACCATCATAATTAACATTTAACTTAGATGTCATTCCCATGCAGCCATGAAGAAAAGCGTCAAATTGGGATGTATTTCTAATAAGTATATAATATGCTCTTAAAGGGATGAAATCCTCTAGCAATGCTCTAACAAGCCAACTCACATTATCTCCAGTAAATGTACATTGAACAAAATATTTTTCTAGTAAGGAAGATTTAAAATAAAATAATATAGAACATGAACATGACTTAATCTCTCTTCCCCCTAACCCCATAGGCAACACATGAATAAGAAATCACCAGGGGCCGGCCGAGTGGCTCAGTTGGTTAAGAGCGTGAGCTCTGAGCAACAGGGTCACGGGTTCAATTCCCACATGGGCCAGTGGCTGCGCCCGAGCTGAGCTGCTGCTGAGCTGCCAACTGGTGGCAGGATGGCTCAGCTGGTGAGAGCACGTGCTCCTAACAACAAGGTTGCCTGTTCGACTCCCGCATGAGATGGTGGGCTATGCCCACCCGCAACTAAGATTGAACATGGCACCTTGAGCTGAGCTGCTGGGAGCTCCTGATGGGCAGCAGGATGGAGACTGGACTTGGAGCTGAACTTGCTGCACCCTCCACAACTAAGATTGAAGGACAACAACTTGGCTGTTCCCCTTCCCCAATTCCCCAATAAAATCTTAATAAAAGAAAGAAAGAAAAGAAATCACCAAAAGGCAAAAGGAAAGAAGACCACCTTCCTCCAGGTAAGTATGCCAAACAAATTCTCTAAAGTAATTTTTTTTAATTCTGGTATTTAAAAGTCACTCACCCCTTTCCTTTGAGGCCTTTTTTAAAACACTTGCCAAGTAAAAAGCAAAAAAAAGGCAAGGAGTGGTAAAGTTCCATCTGTTTATAATTTAGAGCTAAACAAAATGCCAGTGACCCTAGCAGGTCCCAGTCATAAGATACTCCAAGAATACCCCACAAAGCAAAGCCAAGACTCACAGAATTATATATGTTCCTATGTTAAGGAAATTATCTCAATAATTAAAAGAGATAGAGAGCTTGCATTTTATAAAGTATATCTCTTATACAATTTTAAAATAACATATATAATGAAAGCTATTTCTAAATAGAAATTGAAAATACTGAAGTGATAAACATTTCAAATTATATATATATATAACGACCTTGAATATATTAAATCTACTGTTAAACAGAAAAACGGATTTGTTTAGGTTTATAAAAGCTCTAAATAGATGATAACATGTAGCTTTGTTTCTGCTAGACTATTTCACAGCATTATTATAACATACCAAAATCTAGAACATAAGACAAAGCTTCAAAAGTGGAAAAAACAACAACCCACAAAACGTCTATAATATGCATCATATAAATTATGTACTTGATTAGAAAATAATAGCGTTGTTATTAAAACAACATCACAACTAAATTTTCAGTTCAAAATGGTAAGCTGAGCACTCATGTTTACTGCCTGGTCTTCCCAAAACCCCCTTAAAATGATAGGGAATTTTTAAAAGTATAAATTCACAGCCATAAAGAGAAAAGGAAGATGGGTTACGACAGATAAAGATTTCAACACATTTCTAGGAGACAGAAGGGGACAGAAAAATGGTCACAAATAAACCAGGATGGAAGAAGCCTGCATAGAGGAAGCACAGCAAGCAAGAGGCCAAGCTACACTGCAAGCCCCTAGGGACTCGAAACACCAAGTCATTAGGGTGCAGTGGAGTAATGTTGAAAAGAAAACAAGAGGATTAACTGAAAATCCCTAGGTGAAGAAGTCAAACCCCACCTCATTCCTGTGCAAAGATAATCTGGCAGCCAAAACATTTACCCTCCAGGCAACAAAAGAAGGAATATTTCTCCAAAGAAATGGAATAAAACTATCCGGGGCAGCTAGTGTATAAGTTAACACTATAGTCTAGATCCTTCTATATTCTGAAATTTAAGGATCCCAAAGGATACTGGCCAGCTCCCTGCCCACTTCCTCTACAGTGGACCAGAA